GACAATGGTCCTGGGGGGAAACCGTTGTTACTTGCAGGATTGATCAGAAAAGAGTAAAGGACACTTCTTTGGTGGATACCAGTGTAGTCCGATCAAACCGAGACCCATCTTCAAGGGGGAAGCCGATAACCCTAAGTTGCCTAGACGAGAGCTGGCTGACCACAGGCCTCTACAGTGACGAGCAGAAACATGGTGTCCTCGCATTTTCCAACATTTTGTAAGTAGAGATCTGTCTCGGTCACAGCCAGGCTTGGTAACTTAAATAAGTAAAAGAGGTACTTACAACCCTATCAAATTGTGTTAGATCACATATGTCATTCTTTCACTAATGTAAATAAATGTAATTGTGTGTTGTTTGGTTAGAACCGAAAAAGTATTTTATTGATTCGGGAAGCAGCTTCTATAGAGATGACTCCTCGAGCAGGTACCCTATTCCGCACCCCTCCTGGCATCATAACAAGATCACACGTGAAAAGCATAGACACTGTTATTTTCTGTTTCAAGCACGCTTCAAGGAAATGCTTAATTGTGCATTGCATGCAACTGTGTAGCGCGACCTGCATGCGAAACTTGTTATTTGGAGAGAGAGAGAGAGGGAGGGTGGAAGAGAGATTAGAAAGAACATTACTTCGTTTTTGGCTGGGTTATTTAACAAATGCTGTCACCATGTACTTAACGGCCATGGGGATTCGTTGCGCTGACCACGCGACACTCTCTATCCGCAAAAGTTGGCACTGAACTTCGCTGACAAGCGGCGGTTGCTAGGTCGGTATAGTTTGTTTGCGGAATAAAATCACGGAATCACCATGTAGACCATATAGGTTCGCATGGTTGGAAGTGTGATGAATTGGTAAGAATCGAGCTTATCACAGTGGAAGTATCCCAGTATATTCCTGGAAAGGGGACTCTTGCCATTATGAACAATATGTTTTCTAAAGTTACTTTGGTTAAGGGCCTTAGCATATATAGCTCAGGCGGTTAGTAGCTGACTTCCCACCGGGGCGGCCCCGGTTCAAGTCCAGGTAATGTCATGTGGGATTTGTGGTTGACAAATTGTCAGTGGGATAGGATTTCTCCGAGTACTTCGGTTTCCCCTGCCAATTCTCATTCCGCCAAATGCTCCACACTCATCTGTCTTCCGGGGCTGGTACAATAGACCAAACGGTGACCGACGTACGAAGTGTACTCAGTCTCACCCTAGCACAAGAAACTAAAAAAAAAAAAGCTACTTTGGTTGCTGTTGTGTGCCATGATTAAACATTCCGATAGTGATGCTACCACGCTTTCCACCTCAGAAGTCTGCTTTCGCCTCACACCACTTCACAACCCGAAAGACAGTAACCCGTATATCCACAGCCTTCAGAAGAATTCTATCTCCGGAGTAAGACCTGAAAGTGGCGAAGGCGAAGGTTAACACGAAACGTTCTTACATTTCTACCAGACTATACGGCGTACATCAGAAAGGACAGTATTGTTCATAGTCTCCGCAGAAGAGCCTGAAATCCAACTTCTGGATCGAATCTGAAAATTGAGGCAACAGTTTGTTCCGAAACGGTGGTAACTTGCTACCAGACTGCGTAGCGTCACATCCTTCAGGTATCTGTGAAGTCTGTGAAGCTGTTTGCTTTATCTGGTGAGAGATGGCGGTGCAGCTTCTGTTCACTGCTCCGTTTAAATGCGCTCTGTTATAGGAAGGGCGAGTGTATGACAGTGCTTAACCGAACTTTCGGTTCTGTGTAACTTGTACGTGAGTCGAAAGTTACAATGTTGGTGCTGCCCTAATCATCTTACCTTACTTCAATTCGTCAACAGGTTCGTGTAAAACATCGAAGTGCTTATCGTCTTGGAGAGACGTAACTGGAAATCAACTTAACAGAATAAATACGAAGAAATCTCCATACACTGCTGGAAAATGTGGTGTCCGCATAACTTGCGGCGTCAAGTTGTCTAGTTACGTTTTATTATTGAAGGTCGTGAGAATAATTGAGGAGTTACATGAATGGAAAAGTAGCGGCTCCGGTCTAGAGAACCGAAATTAACGACCGTGAGGATTCGTTGTGCTGACCACGCGACAGCTTCTATCCGCTAAATTTGGCAGTAACTTTGCCGACACGCGGCGCTCGCTCGGTCGGTATAGTTCGCTTGCGGGCTAAAGCCACGGAGTTTTTGTTTTGTTGTGATAATTAGGTAAGATTACCCTGCCCATCTCATCCTAATTGATATGATCATTCTCATTACACTTGGAGAAGAGTATAAGTTATGAAGTTCCTCATTATACAGTTTACTTTTCCAACCTCCCCTTACTTTATCTCTCTTCAGTCCAAATATTCTCCTCAACACCCTGTCCTCAAACACCTTCAGTCTATGTCCCTCCCCTAATGTCAGAGACCAAGATTTACACCCATACACAACCACTGGCAAAATTATAGTTTTGTATATTCTATTTTTTATGTTTTGGGACAGCAGACGGGAAGACAAAAGGTTCTGGGCTGAATGGTAGCAAGCATTGCCCAAGTTCAATCTCCACTTAATATCCTCCTGAATCAGATTTTGACTTATTATCGTCGTTCCCAAATATCTGAACTGTGCCACCTTTTCAAAACATCTGTTTCCTATCTTTACGTCATGATTTTCCATGATGGGCACGAACCGTGACAAGGGTTTGCTCCCCAAGCTGGGTAACAATGACTTTGCGCCTGCAAACGAAAGGGGGCACGCGGTAGCGTAATTGGTCGAGATATTATGCTATAAGCTGGAAGGTCGCGGGTTCTGTTCGATTCCGGATGATGTTATTGTATTTCTTTCAATTGATCTAATATTTCCAGCAGCGCTATGGCCCTGGGGTAGACATAACCTCTGTCGTGTAACAAAACCGCGAGGTGTGTATTCTTGCCACGTCACTATATTACACTTCCACGTAACTACAATTCAACGTAGTTATAACTCAGAAGGTTCAACAAAGAATTTCACAATCTGTCCTTTTCTTGTTAACTACTCTCACTAGAATGTCGAACTGTTGAACTGTAACTGCAACTGTAACGTCTCTGTAACTCTCCGTGCTGGCTAACTACTCGCTTCTGTCGAACTGTGTTTGTAACCGTAAACTTCCAAGTCAAAGTCACATTGCAACTGACGGTCAGTCAGTCTCTCTGTCTTGGTGTCGAGCCCCGGCTGGGTCTCATGACCATAATCTTTTCCCCCTTAATATGAAAGTTACTGTCCTGTCCATTTGGGGTGCCTCCTCTGACGAGAGGACGGGTCTGTCATTTGCCACTCATAGTTCGTATTAATAAGTCCATTGTCAGTATTTACATATAATTACAAATTTAATCGTAATTCCAATTTCTATGTACAATATATACAAGGCCTCTGTCAATCCAGGCTTTGTACAGCAGATTATGCCCTATTTCTACCTGTATTCGCTACCACGGCAGTCTAGTCACTTGACGGTCGTCTGCCTGACCGCCGCCAAGTTTAAGTCTCTTATACGTTCTGTGTCGGTCTTCACCTTGACCAATAATGCGAACATTCTCATTTTCATGATTTTGTATAACTTCTGCTTGTTACCTGCATAATTTTGTTATATAGTCATGTACGTACGGGATGTTTAATGCCATGTGTAAATCGCGGACAGGTGTGCGCCTTGGAAAATTGCCAGTGGTGCGGAGAACCTTGTTTTGCAGGCGCTGCAATTTCACTTGATGAGTGTCCGCCGCGAAATCACAGGCGGGACTAACATAAGTCATTACGGATCTAATAAGAGCTTTGTGGATGGTCAGTTTAATGTTAGCGTTCAATCGCTCACTTTTGAATAGGGAATATACTCTAATCAATGTTCTGAAGGCCCAGGCTTCGATCATTTCTATGTGTAATCTCAATGTAACTCTCTTATCGAAGATTGCACCTCGGTGACTAGACTGCGGTGGTAGCGAATACTGGTAGAAACAGGGCAAAATCTGCTGTACAGAGCCTGGATTGACAGAGGCCTTGTATATATTTTACATAGAAATAGGAATTAAGATTAAATATGTAAATATATGTAAACACTGACAATGGACTTACTAACACTTACTATGACTGACAAATGACAAACCTGACCTCTTGTTAGAGAGGGCGCCCAAAATGAACAGGGCAGTACCTTTCATATAATAAAATAGAAAAAAAAATCTGGTCATGAGCCCCAGCCGGGGCTGGACACCAAAACAGACAGACAGACAGACTTGGACTTACACCCCAACATGCTGCAACTGCCAGTTGGCTGAGGGAGACAAGCCACATCCCGCCAACTATTGGGGTTGCAGACACGCCAGGGAAGAGCTGCAAAAAAGGAAGGCGAAAAGAACACCGAAAACTGCCACGGAGGTGTTCTCATCGAACTTCACCCCAGGCGTGTCCTTCATGGCGGCACTAAGAGGCAACGCAGAACAACAGCGACCCCAGGCAAACCCCGCCCCAATGATCTGCCCTACAGTAACAAAACAACAAAATGTACCGGCCCCTGCACTGCAGAAGGAAACAGGTCAGTCAGTTCGGGCTCCTCATGCAAAGAGTCAACCCCTCGGCAATATGTTGAGAGTTGTGACTGCAGTACAGCAGATCATGACGATCATGACAGAGTTCAATGGTGCAGTGGCAATATTGTAACCAATGAGGTTTACCCGAGGTGCGATTATTGCTAGTTGAAAACTTATGTTGGGTGTCAGAGTCAGAGTCATAGTTAGGTGTCTTAAACTCGGGTCCTTCACTCGGAAAATCCAGTTTAATCCCTTATGGTCAGTCAAAACTTGAAGCCTTCAACTAATTAAGTATGGTCTGAAGTTCTTGCATGCCCATACTATTGCAAGCAATTCTTTTTCAACAGTGCTGTAATTAAGTTCAGCGTTATTAAATGTTCTACTAGCGTAAGCGACAGGCAAGTCTTGGCCTACCTTGCCTTGACTTGACACGTCCTTCCCAATATGGATCTAATTTAGTTCTGTTCTCTTTTTGTAGCCATACAAGATCTTTAATTTGAAAACAATGACCTTTTTTCTTATCTTTTTCATTCTGTTTTGTCTTAAAATTGACCAATTTTGACCTAGCTAATTCACAAGTTTCTTGGATTTGTCTCTTTATAACATGTACTGTATCATCATAGTTATATAACGATTGTACCTCCTTCTGTAAAATTCCAGGTATATTACACTTTCTTCCAAAAAGAACCTCATAGGGTGTATAGCCTGTAATCGTGTGTGGAGTCGTATTATATGAGAAACAAGCAAATGGAAGTAACTGGTCCCATTCTTGTTTAGAATTCACATAGCATCTCAATTTTGGGCACGCTCTAGTACACCATTACTTTCAGGATGGTAAGCAGTAGTTTGCACCCTTTCAATCTTCAAGAGTGTACATAATCTCTTATAAACATCAGAACAAAAATCTGTACCCTGATCTGTCAAGATAATTGAAGGTATACCATATACTAAAATAATGAATTTTACTAGCTTCTCAGCGATTTGGCTTTGAAGAGGAACAGCTATCAAATACTTACTTAGGTTGTCTTGACAACTCAGTATGTATTTGTTTTTCTCACTTGTTACTTCTAGTGGACCTACAATGTCTAAGGCTAACTTGTTCCACGGGAATTCCTGCGTATCCGTTACTTGTAAAGGTTCTGTCGTTATCTCTCCTACCTTCATTTGCCGACAAGTTACACATTTCTTTATATAATTTCTAATGTCTTGTTCCATACCTTCCCATTCAAGGTATAATTTAATTCTTTCAAGGGTCCTTGACACACCTTGTTGACCACCCACTGGATAATCATGCATTTCGGATATTCTCTTTTGTTTTCTTTCTTCACTTATTTCAGGTTCTCATACGTCACATAAATTCACTTCTGGATAATGAGTGAGGCTATCCCCATTTACATTCTGTTTTCCTGGTTTGTAAACAATTTCATATTCGTATTCTTCTAAAAGCATACACCATCTCAAGAGCCTCGAACTCGGGTCCTTCACTCTAAAGATCCAGGTCAGACCCTTATGATCGGTGAGTACTTGAATCTTACAACTGATCACATAAGGTCGGAAATGTTTTACTGCCCATACAATGGATAGTAATTCCTTTTCCACGGTGCTGTAATTTAATTCAGCACCGTTGAAGGTTCGGCTTGCATAGGCCACAGGTAGGTCTTGACCTACCTTGCCCTGACTCAATACTGCACCAATCGCATAACCACTTGCATCAGTTGTAAGAAGAAATGGCTTAGTGAAATCTGGGTATTGGAGTACAGGAGAAGTAGTTAGCTTTTCCTTTAATATTTCAAAACTTGTTTGTTCCTTCACTCACTCCAAGATCATGGGGTATCTTTCTTAAGTAATTCAGTCAATGGTTTAGCAATGGCTGAAAACTTGTCAATAAATTTCCTGTAATACCCTGAAAGGCCTAAAAATGACTTAATGTCTGTTACATTCTTTGGAACAGGAAAATTTATTACACTTGAAATCTTTTTAGGGTCTGGGAGGCTTACTTAAAACTGGAAAACTCTCAATAACTTGATCTACAGGTGTAGTATTCACAAACAAACATGTCACTTTATTATCCACACACTCTGTGTAACATCTGGCTACGAAAAGTCCAGACTGAATTTACTGACTTTCAATATATCTAATTCCCTTTTCTCTAGTTGGGAGTTGAACAATATTCTCGCTAAAGGCAGGTAACTGATCTCCTTCTGAATCATAAAACGGTTGTTATCTAACCAATCTTGTCCTAATATAATATTTAACTTTCAAGGTAGCCTCTCGATAGTATAAAACTTATGATGAACATTATTACTTATATTCACTTCAACATTTCCTTTAATACTCATTATATTCCCAGTAATCCCACTTTATATGTTGCATTTTCACTCACGGTAACCTTGGGGGGCAACGAAGACCTGGCAATGAGAGATACCTGTGCACCGGTGTCTATCAGTGCCACTCCTACTTCTGTTCGGAGTAGCGGGCTTGTCACCAAGATCTCATATGGACCGAGGGACTGTCCATCCTTTTTATCAATTTTCAGAGTCTCGCTGTGACTGCCAACACATGTTATTGACTCTGGGGAACCCTCAACCAGTACTAATTGGGACCATATGAACTCATTTGTCACCGCAAGATTCTTGTTCGTCTTCCGCCGCACCATTCAAGGATCTTGGCAGGGTAATGTCGATGCTAGCATCCTTTAAATTACAAACTAGGTCACCCTCCTTAAAACAGGCATTTCATTATTGCAATTAACCTCTGCTTGCCTCAGAGTAGCAGGAGTCATGTGTGACTGCCTATCACATGGTCCTAAACACAGTTTCCCTGGTAATTATTATGGGTGCCTTTATTTTGGGGATTACAACTTTGCCCAAGATTACTCGTCTTTGGACCCTGTCCCTCACTCTGCATCTTAGAGAGGTATGACCCTTCCTTCCACATCTGTCACATGTCAACTTGTGACAGCAGTTCTGGACCACATGCCCCACTTTATCACATATAAAACATTTTCTATGATCTTTAATTGCAGGCATTACTTCTCTCTTAATTACTCCTTGTTGTGTACCTCCCTGTTCCATCTCATTTTGAACTTTAGATTGTCCAGGAATCGGACCTGACAACCATTTTGATTGGAGCGAAATCTTTGACTTCTCAGTTCGCTTTCCTCCTTACCAGCTGTTTCTGTTAACTGTAAGAGTGTGATGTCATCACTCATCTTACTTTTCAGCAAATATTTAATTCGGTCATCTTTCAAACCATTGACAAATGTTCCCCTAATTGCTTTAAGGGATGAGGTAACTGTCTTCATTTTTTAAGTTTTTGATCCATATAGTGAATTTCAACAAACTGTGATCTATCTGTAAGATACGATCTCATCCATGCATGAGATATTCCTCTCAGTCCATACGGTTCCAACTTTGCAAGCAGCAAATTATGATTAATAACATCAAAAGCCTTTGATAGATCCAGAAATATACCAAAGGCCAGTTGTTTATTA